GAGCAAGGGGCTCCCAGGGCACTGTGGGATCAGCCCAGAGCCAGGCTTTAAGGTCCTCTCGGCTCTGCAGAACTAGGAACCCCTCTATCTCCGGAGCCGGCATCTGCTTGTCTGGAATCTATTCCTCCTTCGGATCAGGGGCGGTGTTAGGGAAAAGGTTCTGCCATGCTGCCGGGTGGCCTCTGCATTCTAAATGGGAACTCGTCTTTGTCTGTATTTGGCCTCCTTTCGTCCCATCAGCCAAAAACATGCTTCCAAACATAGTCAGCTGTGAATAAATCCTTTAAGCTGAAACCAAAGAAGCAAATGTAAAATACCTATGGAGACCATCCAGCTCCCAAGGCAGCATCTCCGAACATGGAACTCTCTGCCCCAGGGGCGGAGCATCTGCAGGGTGACGTGCCAATCCATCAAACCCAATTCCCACGTCGGGGGATGGCTCTTGGGGACTTTAGGGAAGGGCACTGGAATGCGCGCCGTTACCCTGCCGTCTGTCTGCCGTAGAGAGTTAGAGGCCTGCACTTCACCTAGATTCTACGCTAGGACTACTTGGTTTCCCCTTGGGAAGGCCTCAAGCTCCGCAGACTCCAAACCCTAACCCACCAGCTTGGCCATCAAGCTCAGCCCTGAGCTGAGCGGGGCTGAGGTTCTATGTGGCCACCAGGACCAGGCTGTAGCTGGTGCCTCAGACACCTAATGTCTGGACGATGGCCCTCCCAGTCTGGCAGCTGGCATCCTTGAGAGCCAGGCAGTAGGGAGAACGTTGGCTTACAGGGCAGCAAGGGTCTTCTGGTTCTGAGAGGCTGTCCAAGGCTCTGGCTCCAAGAGTCCAACCCCAGATACAGCTCTGTGGGCTACCCCGATCGGCTGCCTTCACTCCTGCCCCACACATCTCTCAGCCTATCTTCATGAACTCACAACTCCTGGCTCAAGGCCTATGCCATCTCTCCCAGCCTCTCCCAGCCTCTCCCAGCCCCTCCCAGCCCCTCCCAGCCTCTCCCAGCTCTTCCACCCTCTCCCAGCCTCTCCCAGCCCCTCCCAGCCTCTCCCAGCTCTCCCAGCCCCTCCCAGCCCCTCCCAGCCGCTCCCAGCTCTTCCACCCTCTCCCAGCCTCTCCCAGCCCCTCCCAGCCTCTCCCAGCTCTCCCAGCCCCTCCCAGCCCCTCCCAGCCGCTCCCAGCTCTTCCACCTTCTCCCAGCCCCTCCCAGCTCCTCCCAGCCTCTCCCAGCCTCTCCCAGCCTCTCCCAGCCTCTCCCAGCCTCTCCCAGCTCTCCCAGCCCCTCCCAGCCCCTCCCAGCTCTCCCAGCCTCTCCCAGCCTCTCCCAGCTCTCCCAGCTCTCCCAGCCCCTCCCAGCTCTCCCAGCTCTTCCAGCCCCTCCCAGCTCTTCCAGCCTCTCCCAGCCTCTCCCAGCCCCTCCCAGCTCTCCCAGCCTCTCCCAGCCCCTCCCAGCTCTTCCAGCCTCTCCCAGCCTCTCCCAGCCCCTCCCAGCTCTCCAGCCTCTCCCAGCCTCTCCCAGCCCCTCCCAGCTCTCCCAGCCCCTCCCAGCCTCTCCCAGCCCCTCCCAGCTCTCCCAGCCTCTCCCAGCCTCTCCCAGCTCTCCCAGCTCTCCCAGCCCCTCCCAGCTCTCCCAGCCTCTCCCAGCTCTTCCAGCCCCTCCCAGCTCTTCCAGCCTCTCCCAGCCTCTCCCAGCCCCTCCCAGCTCTCCCAGCCTCTCCCAGCCTCTCCCAGCCCCTCCCAGCTCTTCCAGCCTCTCCCAGCCCCTCCCAGCTCTCCCAGCCTCTCCCAGCCCCTCCCAGCTCTCCCAGCCTCTCCCAGCCCCCTCCCAGCTCTTCCAGCCTCTCCCAGCCTCTCCCAGCCCCTCCCAGCTCTCCCAGCCCCTCCCAGCCTCTCCCAGCCTCTCCCAGCCTCTCCCAGCCCCTCCCAGCTCTCCCAGCCCCTCCCAGCCTCTCCCAGCCCCTCCCAGCTCTCCCAGCCTCTCCCAGCCTCTCCCAGCCCCTCCCAGCTCTCCCAGCCTCTCCCAGCCTCTCCCAGCCCCTCCCAGCTCTCCCAGCCTCTCCCAGCCTCTCCCAGCCCCTCCCAGCTCTCCCAGCCCCTCCCAGCCCCTCCGAGCCCCTCCCAGCCTGCAGCCCTGCCGGGATGCTCACTCTCTACACTGCCCAGGTGGGTGTCCTAGCGTGCCCAAGGCCTCTACCCCTGCCACCAGAACTTCCTGTGCCGCTTCCCCCTGCGTGAGGCCATTGCTGCAGCTGAGTGCTCTGAGAAAGGTTTGCTGTTCCAAAGACAGCCAAAAACAGTTCACAGGCATTTTCTAACTGAAGCACCCAAGAGGAAGCCATCGCATTCTCCATAGCACGTGTGAGGAAGTGGAGGACCTGCCTGGTTAAGTAGCTTGCCAGTGGTCACGCAGCAAGTGAGAAAGCACAGCCACACGTCCACACTCCAGGGTGTGTGTGTGTGTGTGTGTGTGTGTGTTATGTATTTTCCCTGAGAGTCACAATAGCTTCCACTCAAACTGCTGCAGATCTATAATTCCAGGCTTCCAGTAATACTACTCTCTTTCTCTTTAGTAAAGTGAAATGTAGGTGAATGTCAGCTAAATTTACGAATAGAACTTCAACCAAAATGCTTAGAGCAAGTCAAGCTCCCAAGACTCAGTGAAGCCTGTTATCTTTCCTAAGCGATCCTATATTGTTCTCTTCACCACGTGTCGTAACCTCCATCACCACCCTGCGTGAGAAAGGTGTGATTGCATCCATCGCACTGGTTCTGTGAATCGCATGAGGGAGCAGGACAGACCCGAGGCCTGCACCCGGGACAAAATGTGGGCCACACACTCTGCTCCATGCTTTTCATGTTCTCTGTCTGCTCAATCCCGGAAGCAAACACAGAGAATAAGCCGTGCCGTCCTCTCCATCTTCCAGAAGCGCAGAGCAGTCAAATGACTGGCCCAAGATCACACAGCTTCTAAGTGGCAGAACTCCAACTGCAACACAGGGAGTCTGGCTCCAGAGCCCGTGCTTAGGGTAATAGAGCATCCCTGACATTCTGAATTATACGTTGATGTCTTTCAGCTTCAGACAGAAAACATTCCCCTTTCCCTCTGCTTTGAGCCTGAAAAAATTCCCACATCTTCCAGCAATCGCTCCAGCACAGTCCTGTACCACCTGCTGGGGAGAATCGGCCCTGATGTGTGGCCAGTACCTCCACATGAACCCCAGTCGCATCTCATTCATCCCCACAACAGCCCTATGTGTTTGCTGTGTTTCTCTACTTGACTGAGCAGGAAACTGAGGTTCAGAGAGGTTAAGCTACTTGTACAAGGTCCCACAGCTCACAACCTGTGGATCAAGCCCTTGAACCCAGGCCCTCCTGAGGACTCCAAAGCTGATGATCTCTCCTGTTTACTCAGTGGGAGGTTTTAAAACAGAGCATTTAAAACACAGAAATAACAGACGCTCCTTTATAATAGAAGAATACTTGAATAGAACCACACCGACATCCTCCTCATCGTTCCATAGTCACATGCCCGTTGGTGAGGTTCACTCTGCTTGGTTTAAAGCTGGGGTTACAAACTCAAATGCCCATGGGGACCGGCAGGCAATGAAAGGAGTGGCAGTGGCCTGGGGAGGTTACAGTGATTGTAACAGCCATGGCGGGCCTGCTGCACACTACAGAATGCACACCTGTCTTAATGGAGGCAGCCTCGACTTTGCTCTAAGCCATTGTCGCCATGCAGAGAGGCAGCATGGGCAGGCACTGCCAACCCATCCTACTTTTCAAGAGAAGCCAGGAATCCCAATTTTTAGGTAGAATCACTTAATTTTTAAATGATGGAAACTAATTCAAATGTTTCTTTAACCACTATTTAAGCCAAACAAAACCCATCGTGTAGCTGGATTTAGCTTGAATGGTGCCTTTTTTTTTTTCTTTTTAAGAGATGGGGTCTCGCTATGTTGCCTAGGCTGGGGTACAGTGGCTATTCACAGGCGTGATCCCACTACTGATCAGCACGGGAGTTTTGACCTCTCTGTTTCCAACCTGGGCAGGTTCATCCCTCCTTAGGCAACCTGGTGGTCCTCCGCTCATGGGAGGTCACCATATTGATGCCAAACTTAGTACAGACACCCAATCGGCATAGCACACTACAGCCCAGAACTCCTGGGCTCAGGTGATCCTCCCACCTGAGCCTCCCACGTAGCTGGGACTACAGGCACGTGCCACCAAGCCTGGTGAATGGTGCCATTTTGTGATACCCAGTTTTAAAGTTTATAGAGGATATAAGTGTAGTTCATTTAAAGAAAGTCCTATTTAGTGTAAAATCATCAATTTAGTATAAAATGTTGAAATGTTTCTCTAACACAGTATAAGCCAAAGAAAACACATCTGGTTGCTAGATTCAGCTTGCAGGGTGCCATTTTGTAATGTCCAGCATTAAAATTTATAGAGGATAGAAATGTAGTTCACTTAGAGAAATGTCAATTTAGTGTAAAAATTATCTGTGGAAATCAAGACAAAGCCTCTGATACACATGCCAATTTGCTCATGAGAGTATTTCTCTCAGCAGCACTTGCTCTGAAAGAACACTTGGTTCAACAGAAGAAAAAAAGCCCATTGTCACCATCTCAGATCTGTTGGGTAGATACCACAGCCAAGTGGCATGAACCCCTGTCTGCAGTTAACAAATCTGTCATGTTGTGTGGCCACAAAATGATCTCCAGATGTCCTGTTATGCCAATGAAGCACAGGAGAAAATGGACTCCCAGAAACCACCCCAAACTAATCACTCTCCCATCTTTGGTATCTTTGGTAAGGACAAACCTTGATTTTCTCCTTCCTGTTTGGTTGGTGATCTGCTCCCAGTTGATATCTTTCTAAAATCTAAGATAAGGATGGTTCAACCCCCAAAGACTTTAGATTCATTGTCTACATCCGAACACCCCTTCAGTGCTAACCATCCATGGCCGATCCCCAGAGTTCCCTGAAGGAAGAAGGTGCTTACCAACAAGCCATTGGAGCCATGGACTGTGACACAGCGAGAGAATGTATGATGGATGGAGAGGTCCCTGATGTATGTGGGTGGGTCATAGCCTCCCCTTTCGTCCACATCACCGGCCAGGTGGAAGTGAATCGGGTACTGACCCACCAGCTGCTGTCCCATATGCTTCAGCTCCATGCCCTCCAGGTGTGCTGCCTTGAATCCCAGAGCAAACTAGAAGAGGAGAACCGAGAGTGAGAGGAGACCACGAGATGCTTCTGGATTTCCCTGGCTGGGGCCCATATGCCAAAGATGCAGCGGTACTGTACTTTGTCAGTCCCCACCTGGTATCAGTAAATCAAATATATTCTCTGCAAATGGACTAGAATGTCTGGCCCTCCTAATATTGAGGAAGACAGGCAAGGTGCTGCTAATGACAGAGGACATTGTGAGGAAATGGACTGCTTGGAAATGAGATGTTCTAAAGGGCTGTGCTATACCTGGGCTCACTTTGACCCTCCCTTCCTGTCTCCCAAGCCACTAAGTGTTATGAGCAAGGGATAACTCTGAGATAACCTGGAGGGGCAAAAAGCATGCCCTATGAGCATGGGGGATCCAGATGACAGTGGACCAAGGAACGACAACAGTCTTGGCCATTGTCTCCCACCTAAGACCTTCTCCTAGCAGAGGGAAGGGGAACGCCAACTCTGGAATCTTCATGAGCCCATGTTCTGGTGGCATGTGTGTGAGTGGAGGGGACACCACACAATGACTTCACAATATGCCTAGAGCCATTTCTTTTGGGCTCAAGAAAACCACTTGACCACACGGAACACCTGCCCTCCAGGTGCTCACCATGAAAGCACAGTCCGAAAAGGATTCCTGTCAAAAGTCAGGCTCAGCCAACCTCTAAGAGAGAAGAATAATATTGGCATGCTAAACATTTCTTCCGAAAATAGGTGTCAATCGAAGTGCCAACTCCAGTAGTGGCTGCCCTGGAGAGCTGTGTTGAGAATGCTTCTGAGGGCTAGTTTGAGCTCAGTGGGAAAAAGTACCCTAATCACTCCGGGACTGCTGCTCTTGGGGCTACGGCAGCTTGCGTAACACAGACCTGCTATTACTGCTTTCGTCTCACTAATGAGTTTCTCAGCTGAGGACAGTACCATCACCTCTGCCCCACCCTATACCTGGCAGATGACTGGATATGTGTAGAAGTGTTTTTGGTGATGATAAAGACGGAGGAGCACTGCTAGCATTGAATGAGTGGGGACCAGGGATGATGGCAATCCTATAATACAGGCCCGTGTAGCAAAGAATGATCTCATATAAAATGCCAGTAGGGCCCCCACTGTGAACGCTGTAGGTTTCACTACATTTGTCTCTTGAGTTACACTACCAAAAAGTCTTATCCTTAAAGTGCATGATGTTAGCTTTAAGAGAACTGTCTTCACAAAACTCTGAGATAATATTGTGCTACCGACATTGAAACCAATTACCACATGAAGACATTTTGGGTCTCTTAAGGACTGTAATATGCCAGAAAAAGGCTGTTTGCATTGTGATACAAAAGAAATTCCTCTTGAGCCTCATACTAGGAAAACATAAGCACCAATAAACTAGTATCGTTTTTCTATACTGTGCAGTAAGAACCCTGAAGCTCACTATGTCTCCTCTGTCTTGACTCTAACCAGGAAACTCACAGGTAAATTTAATGCTACAACTTCTTTTTTTCTTCTTCTTTTTGAGACTGAGCCTCCCTCTGTCACCAGGCTGGAGTGCAGTGGTGCGATCTTAGCTCATTGCAACCTCCATCTCCTGGGTTGAAGCAATTCTTGTGTCTCAGCCTCCAAGTCGCTAGGATTACAGGCAGGCGCCACCACACCCAGCTAATTTTTGTATTTTTAGTAGAGACAGGGTTTCACCATGTTGGCCAGGATGATCTCAATCTCCCGACCTCATTATCTGCCCACCTCGGCCTCCCAAAGTGCTGGCATTACAGGCGTGAGCCACCGCGCCCGGCCAATGCTACAACTTCTAGGTCCTCTCACCTGCTTATCATTTTATCTATACAGTAATGGATCTATTATAAACGTGACTTTTTGCAAGATGAATGCTAGTTCTTTTAGGAAGTGATCAGGGCAATAATGAACAATGAAATAGTGAAGACAAGGAATGAAGGCAATGTTGAAACAGTGTGACGTGTACCACGTGGCCAAGAGCAGAGAGCTGTTTGTTGCCAAGTTAGCGCTCTCATCTCTCTTATTGCCAATGATTAGTGGGGGAAACTGCATGCCAATGGGTAATACATAAGACTCCTCAAACTTCCAGAAGGCGCCCTCTGCTTGATCCCACCTCCTGTTCCCCCACCCTCATCCCTACCAGGAAGCCCTGCCTAGAGGGTGACATCATAGAGCCTCTCCTGGTTGGGTCGACAGCCTCTGCCAGACACACACATACCTTGATGTGGCCCCCAAAGGTATCAAAGTCAAAGAAATTGCAGATGTGGTTTCTGTAGGGGTAGCATTTGTCCTCCATCTCCCCCATCACCATGATGTTCCGGCTCAGGAGCCCGACCTCCGCCCGCATGTCCACGCCGTCGATCTCGTCCCCGATGTGCAGGTACCTCGGTTTCCCTAGGGCAGAAAGGGAGGCAGGTCAACGACAGAAGATCCCGCATGCCCACTGAGTTCCAGCCAGCTGCTTCTGTGGCTGCTGCTTGCTCACCACCAGGCCCGGTGTACACAGCGGTCTCATGTTACAGAAGGATGAAGGTCAGGGAGGTGAAGTCACACGCCTGCACGCCCAGCCAGATCTCACAGCTACACAGGCTCGGGTCTCAAGCCCTTGGCAGAAATGGCTAACTGTCCCTTCATATTTGTTTCCTCTTCTGCTTTTCAGTCCTGGACTCCTGCATTTTAGCCGGACACAGGGCCATCCGAGGGAATGACATTCTCAGCCTCCCTGCAGTCAAGTGCGGCCGCCACCTCCAGATGGCCCTCCTCTTGCTCTTTCCTGGGAGCTGGTGGGTCAGCCTCACCCACACAGGTGAGAGCCACGCCCCAGAGACAGCAGAGCAATGGGAAGGGAGAAACTGGTCTCCAGATGAGACTGTAGACTGCTGACCTTAGGGAGATAAAACAGATCCCCTGTCTTTAAAGCCTCTGCTTTAGAGCAGTGCAAATTCACGACCTGTCCAGGCAGGTAAATCCCTATTCTGCCTACCTCAGCCTCATGCAGAATGTGTATATACAGCCTGGGGCCCTAGAAAGAGCTAGACTGGAGCTTCTAGATCCACCACCGTGGCCTGGCTCTGGATGCCTCCATGGTAGCACGTGGAGCAGTGGAGAAGAGTCTCCACCAGACTCTGTACTGAGCTCCCACCATCCCCCGTCCTCCCTCTGGCCTCAGAGGAGAGGATGCTCCCTCCGCTCGTGCACTGACCCCCAGGCCATCCCTTTCCCTATCCTTAAGACCCTGGACTCCCTCCGCTAGCAGTTTCATTTCTTCCTTCGTTTGGGCTCCTTATATTCTGCCTTCAAACTTCTCTAGACCTCCCGATCCTTAAAAAACTAACATACAAAAGACCTTTTCCAGTTCTGCTACCTGTCCTAGCAATTGCCCGTCTCTGTCCCGCCGTAACCGGAGTCCCCGATCTTGTGATCTACCTCTAACCCCTCCGTTTTCTCTCCACTCCCCGCCTCCCACCACTCCACACAATCTCTTGCCAAATGCAGGCCCTTCCTCCCCGCTCTGTGCAGAAAATGCATCTCAAGAATGGTGCAGGGTGATGAGAGTTCAAACTTTAGAACTGCCTTTGATTTATAGCCCCAAATCCTGCCTCCACAGCAATCCCACATGCTTTTATGGAAGAAGGAGATCTTAGGCGAGCTCTAAATTCATTTGGCTCGTCACCGAGGTTGCTGACCTGGCTTATGGATGCTTTCTCTTCCATTTGAGGATGAATTACAGACAGCAATAACCTCCTATGTGGATTCCCAGCCCGAAGCACACCACCTCACCTCTTGGCTTTCACTATGATCTTCACTGAGCAATGGGGCCGCGGCCTCAGCCCCCAGACTCAGCCAGTGTCCACATGTGAAGGCCACAGTTATAATTAGCCCCGAGCAACACCCACCACGGTGGCATTGCCCTGCTGTCTCCTCCGCAGGAAGAGCCGACGCTTGTGTCTCCCTCCACCTGCGGCAGCTTTCTCCCCTTTGTCCCTCAAGGTCCAGCTTGTTTCTCCTTCTCAGTGATGTCCCCTCTGACCACAGTCAGCATTAGCCGTTCCTTCTGGGAGTTCCCACAGTGCTTGGCAGAGCTGAGAAACCAGGCCAAGCCTCCACACCTCCAGGACGCTCATCCTCTGCCTTCCAACCATCCCTCACAGCACATGTATCCTGGTGCTCTGGGTACTTCTCTCAGCTTGCCAACTTCCACCTTAGAACACGGTGTCCAGGGCCTGGGTGTGGCACCTCGCGCCTGTAATCCCAGCACTTTGGGGGACCAAGGTGGGCGGATCACGAAGTCAGGAGATTGAGACCATTCTGGCTAACACTGTGAAACCCTATCTCTACTGAAAACACAAAAAATTAGCTAGGCATGGTGGCACATGCCTGGAATCCCAGCTACTCGGGAGAATTGCTTGAACCTGGGATGTGGAGGTTGCAGTGAGCCGAGATCCCACCACTGCAGTCCAGCCTGGGGGACAGAGCAAGACTCCATCTCAAAAAAAAAAAATGGGGGTGTCCATTCAGGAAGAACATGAATCAGAGGCTTCTGCTTCGGCTCTTGTAGGTGGCCAGAGAGCCTCCCCAGGGATCCAGTTTTGATAGTGGTAAGATAGTGTGATGGGGGACTGTGACTCTGGGGCCAGGCTGTGAGGGTCAGGTTCTAACTCAGCTCACAGCTGGAAGTCCCTGAGTGTATTATTTAAGCTCCTGGAACCTCAGGCTCTTCATCTGTAAAACGCAGATAATAACAGCACATACTTCGAAAGGGGGCTGTGATTGTTAAATGAATGAATCCATGCGATGTGCTTGGAAATGGAGCCCCTGGCACATGGGAGGAGGCCAGTGTAACAGAACTGACACCTGCAGCTGTCACTGGCACCATCCCCAAGGCTCCCACCGCTGGCTTCACACCTGTGATGACGGGAGTTGGTAGATGGCCAATTTGGCATCTTTCTTTGTCCCGTGGGGGAAGCTGGGCAGGGTGGAGGAGTGGCTGTCAGGTAGCGGGAGGCACTGGGCTTATCAGACTGCTGTGAGTCAAGGAAATATAAGTCGGGCTGGGAGCTGCAAGCATGTTTTGGTCCCATAGCCGCCTCCCCGGCTGTGGAGCTTCCTATCAAGACCTTGTACAAGACCTGGCCGTGGCTGTTAGCTGTGGCAGCCACTTTATCTGTCCTGCTGCTGCCTTCGCTGGCCACTCCCAGGCAGCTATCCGAGAGACGAGGGACACTGTGTGCCTGACTCCCCCACGCCCCATCCTGCCTCAGAATTCTCCCACTGAGCCTCCACCCCTCCCGTCCTCCTCAAAGCCCTGATACAGGAAGCCCCACCAGGGAAAAGCAGACGTGGCCAAATCAGCCTTGTCTCAAATAATCCAGAGGTGCTTGAGCACCCAGGTGAAGGGGAAGGGGCCTGGGAAGCAGGGAGCTCTGCACGGTTGCCCTACCCAGGCCTGCAGATGCTGACCGTCTCTTGTCTTTACTCTGCAAGTGTCCGGGTTCCACAGCCCCCAGGACCCTCTCTACAGGGTACACAGGGTGCTAGGCACCCTGCGGTCAAGACAACAACATCGAGGACCTTCCAGTGGAAGGAGCCAGAGTGTGCTCTTGGAGCTCAGACCTAGCAGGACTCCAGGAGTCTGGTGGACGGGAACGGGGGGGGGTCATCATCTTCAGGTGGAGACGCTGGGAACAAGGGTCCTTACGGAGGGAGGCTGAAGCGGGACAGGCAGCCTTGGAGCCAGATGGCTCTGACTTAGCATCCTGGCTCAGCTGTTGACTTGCTTGGCCTAGTATCACTGCCGCCCACTACAACTTCCAGTGATGAAGGAAATGCTCTATTCTGGGTTATCCAAAAGGGTAGCGGGTAGTCACTGGTGGCTACTGGCCACATGAAACCCGGCTGCTGTGACTGAGGAATAGGCTTTTTTTGTTTTGAGGCAGAGTTTCACTTTTTTGCCCAGGCTGGAGTGCAATGGTGTGATCTCAGCTCACCACAACCTCCACCTCCCGGGTTCAAGGAATTCTCCTGCCTCGGCCTCCTGAGTAGCTGGGACTACAGGCATGTGCCACCACACCTAGCTAACTTTCTATTTTCAGTAGAGACTGGGTTTCACTGTGTTGGTCAGGCTGGTCTTGAACTCCCGACCTCAGGCGATCCGCCCACCTTGGCCTCCCAAAGTGCTGGGATTACAGGCGTGAGCCACCTCGCCCAGTCGGAATAAAATTTTAGACATTCAATTTCCATGAGCCTCAGTTTTCTCATTCGTATCATGAAGAAAATAGTAGCCCCTACTCTTTTGTGAAGAGTGAACAAGATGGTTTATGTGAAGTACTTGGAATATCAGAGAAAACTAAATTTGTGTTAATTCTAGCTAATGGCGGCATTCTTTAAAGATATGGGGGGGTGTTTACAGGCAAAGTGGGGTGGGTGATAAAGACAAGAGCTCAGAAAATCAAGGGAGGGGAGTTCCAATTGCCACACTGTGAGCTGTTGAGACTCATACTGTGGGTGACAAAATTTTGAAACATTTTTTAGATGATTCATGCATTTTCATTACTTCATTACTCCCATCTGTTTTCCGTCAGAAAGGCCTTAAGATGCAAACGTTCCTGTCGAATGGCATCCAGGAGCAGTGAGGAAGGAAGACCCAGGAAGGATGGTCCCCATGTGCAGCCAGCCTGGGGGAGAGAAGCCTAAGAGACAGCACAGGATTCGGGGGGCGCTCAGAGAAAAGTGAGAAGCGGGTAGAGTCCTTGATCTCTGTCGATGGGGAGATGGAGAGTCAGAGAATGGGCTTGGGGATGAACAGGATGAATCTGAGCCTCTCCAGGACAGACAGACACGACACACACACACGCACATACACACACACACACTCACACACATGCTCACACAGGCACCCCTACCTGGGGCTTTTCTGGCGCTGGTCACCAGGAGATGCTGTTTTCGTGGGGGCCCCACAGCTCCTGGGCGGAGCAAAGGAGGCGGCCGGTCTGAGCGGAATATGTTTAAGGGAGGGGAGGTGCGCTGGGGTGGGGCTGCCGGGGAAACACGGGCAGGCAGTGCTAAACCCAAAGGAAGTGGAGGGCGTTGAGGCAGGTGCAACTGCTCCGCTTATCCTCTCCCGCTGAGTACTCGGGGCCTGGAGCGGCCTCATGCATTCTGTTCAGCCTTCAGGGGCCCCCAGGAACAGCTGACCCTGGTGGTCAAACGTGATCGAGAGGAGCAGCTCTCCTGCAGGGACACCCCAACCGCACTATAGGCTGAGCCAGAAATGCTCTGACACACACAGACTCCCCGTCGTCAGGGCCACCCTCGGCACCACAGCTGCCTGGACGGGACCTGCTCACAGTGAGGTCTCCCGTGAAGCCCTCGGGGTGACCCAGCCTGGGGCGCAGACGGGGTCTGGTCTGAAGAAAGCCCGCTTGCCTCTCCCTGGAATGCCCTCCCCCGCTCCACGCAGGCAAGGGCTCACAGTCAGACTTTCACCCTCCTAAACAGCCCACATGCCACCCCAAACCCATGGACCAGCTCATAGTGAGCAGTGACATCGGCTCAGGTGGTCTGAATGCCACTCCTGCCAAGAGTCCAGGGGGACATCTGACCTCCCAGAGGCTTATTCACAATGCACTGTCCCTGGGTGACACACAGTCACTTCACCCTTGCGAAGACGCAAGGGTTTAACAATCATTAGGAATATGCTTCTCCTGGCACCCTCCTCTAGACGCAGCTCTAGACAGTGCTTCCTTGCCAGGGGAAATCCAGTGGGCTTCTACCCTCCAGTGACTTCCCTGTGCACTTTGAATAAAGCCCCAATTTGCGCCACGGCCCCCCCCCTCTCCCTGAAGCCCCATGCAGCTTTCCCATTCTCCACGTTAGCTACTCTGGGCCTCTTGGTAGCTGGAACGCCCCATGCTCCCCTCAACATGACGTTCCCCTCTGGCGGTACTTCTCTTGAGGTAGCTTTTATGCTGTCTCGGCTCAAGTCGCTCACTCCTCTGGGAAGACGCCCATGCCTGTCGGTCTTTACCAAAGCTCCCTTTTCTATGCTCCCAGCACCTCCCATATTCCGCTTTGATGGCGGTTGTCACCGTTCTATTTTGGAATTCTATTTTGATTGGAACAAAACTTTGGTGGATATCTATCTTCACTGCTGGACTGCACGCTCCCTGAGGATAGGAAACACATCTACCTTGCTCACCGCAGCGTATGCAAGGCTGGCACATTGCCTGGCACATGTATGTGTTTTTTCTTTTTTTTTTGAGACAGTCTTGCTCTGTTACCCAGGCTGGAGTACAATGGCACTATCTCAGCTCACTGCAACATCCGCCTCCTGGGTTCAAGCGATTCTCCTGCCTCAGCCTCCTGAGCAGCTGGGACTACAGGCGCGCACCACCACGCCTGGCTAATTTTTGTATTTTTAGTAGAAACGGGTTTTCACCACGTTGGTCAGGATGGTCTCGATCTCTTGACCTCGTGATCCACCCGCCTCGGCCTCCCAAAGTGCTGGGATCACAGGCGTGAGCCACCGCGCTGGCCTATGTATGCTTTCTAATGGCTTAGTGAATAAATGATGAAATGCTCCTGCCCACCTCCTCGTGAAGAAAGGGCGGGCAAGGCCACCTGCCCAGCCTAAGGATGGAGGAAGCATGCGACGTGCAGACTCACAGAGGTGGCATCCACACCTTGAGGCACTGGAGGCGTGCGGAGAAATAGCTGCAGGCCTACGACAGACCTCGGGTGTTCATTAATAATGATGACAGCTGGGTGTCCTGACTCATGCTTGTAATCCCAGCGCTTTGGGAGGCTGAGGAGGGAGGATCACTTGAGCCCAGGATTTTGAGAACAGCCTGGGCAATATAGTGAGACTCTGTCTCTACAAAATAATAATAATAATAGAAATAATTTGCTTTCCTGTCTCTGCAACACCCTCCACTTGCACGTCCCAAAAGAGCAGAATTGGTCAGCTACAAAAATGCTGTTAACCATGCCCCTTCCTCCTTTCCCATCTTTAAGCATAGTTGCCGAATCACGGCACCTAATAGTCATAATAAGAGCTAACATTCATTGAGCACTGTGTGCCAGGTAATATCGTCAGCACCTCACATACACAAACTCCTTTAACCCTCACCACAATCCCATGAAGTAGTCATAATCATTATCTCCATTTTTTTCTTTTTCTTTTTTTCTTTTTAGAGAGACGAAGTCTCACTCTTTTACCCAGGCTGGAGTGCGGTGGCACCATCTCGGCTCACTGCAACCTCCGCTTCCCGGGTTCTAGCAATTCTCCTCCCTCAGTCTCCCGAGTAGCTGGGGATAGCACGTCGCTATACCCAGCTAATTTTTTGTATTTTGCTAGAGACGGGGTTTCACTGTGTTGCCCAGGCTGGTCTCAGACTCCTGAGCTCAGGCAATCCACCCATCTCGGCCTCTCAAAGTGCTAGGATTACAGGCGTGATTTTACAGATCACAGGAAGCTGAGATAAAGATTACGTAACTGTCTAAGGTCATATAGCAAATAACTGCATTCCTGGAACCTAAATCCCAGATGTCTGGTTCCAAAGCCCGTGTTCTGTATTCTATTCTGCCTTTGCCAAACAAAACCCAAACCAAAAATGTCTTCTTCAAAGTATCCTCATAGAATGTGACCAACAGCATTTCCCCAACTACTATTAGGAGTTCAACTGCAAGTAGCCACACAGAGCATCTTTGCATAAAACTGTTCCCAGCATGGCTGCTCACATGGTCATGAATATCTTTCTTATGAAAACCTCTGCGGCAAATTCCTCAGAGCTAAGAGAAGGTTGACCCTCTTGGTCTTCTAGGCTCCTTGTCTCCTTCCTTTCAGTGGATAATGATAGTTAAGTAATTCATGAAGTTTCTTTCTTTGCTCTGGCTGCCAGGAAGCTCAGAGATAAAGCTTATTGTCTATTTTAGTATCTTCTGCTCTCCTGCTAAGCTCGGTCACCTCCCTCTCTGCTTTCCCTGAATTTATTCTCCTTCTATCTTTTTTTCCCTGGGTGCCAGATTTACTTGGACTTGCGTTTATGGTAAGATACCACAAAACCTTTCGCAAATAATGTAGGGGTTCAAACATTGTCATTTAAAAAAGCAGACTCTGTTACTTTGTTCTGGGAAGGAACAAATGTCTAGTCATCTCAACCTCTACCCACAAGCTGCTGCTTCATTCCCTCTCTTTAGCTACACTCGCCAAATGACCATCTCCCTCCAAAGCATGTAAGCCTTCTTTTTCAGGTTCTGAGGTGTATGATGGGCACCCCGGCATCACAGCTGCAGTGTTTGTGGACTGCCTCTGCCACAGGACCTCTAGGGTCCCCTTCCCCCATGAATCAGATAAGGGAACTGAATTCCATCAATGTTCTCAGACTTTTTAAACTTTGCCTCCACAGATGCTTCCTCAAACACATCTCAGCCAGCCAAAAAGACTGTGTTGAATTTTGCGTTCCATGGGTTTCTTTCCAAATGGATAAGGCAAACATATTAAAAATGCTTTCTCAATCCATCCCAGTCCCACCGTAGCATGTGGTCTTTTTAATGCCCAGTGTTGATTCCCCTTTCTTCTGGTGATACATCCCAATTTTCCTTTGAGGAATGACCATTTATCCCTTTGATGCAGTCTTAGAAGAACTTTCAGTGAAGGTTCCTGCCTTTCCCAGCCAAAGGGTGAGTACACGAGCCACCAGTCCAAGTGGATGGTCTCTCCCTGGAAGGTGACTTTGGAGCACTATGTCCCAGGGCCTAAGCATGGTTCTTCTTCTTTTTTTTTTTTCCCTTTTTTTTTTTTTTTTTCTTTTCTTTTTTTAAGATAGGGTTTCTCCATGATGGCCAGGCTGGTCTTGAACTCCTGACCTCAGGTGATCCACCCACCTTGGCCTCCCAAACTGCTAGGATTACAGGTATGAGCCACCGCGCCTGGCCTCCTAAGCATGGTTCTTAAAGACGATGCCTTAAGGATGCATCCATTAGTTCCCACTACCCAGACCCCAGAGGCTACCTTGTTCTCTGCACGTTTGCAGGTTTTTCAGCTTCCCCTTTAGTTCTCCAAGTTGAATAGCCTCTCAATAAATTTCTGTTTTGCTTAAGATAGTCAAGTTGGATTCTGTTGCTTACAACCAAAGAACTCTAATCGAAACACAACTCCCCATACTAAGAATTGTTGATCTGGATTATATTTCAAGTCTCCTTTCACCTTTAACAATCTGGGATTCTAGTAACCTCACATAATATAAACTACAGGACATCTAAATCAAGATTTAGGAGAAGAAAAAGAAAAACCCCAAACCCCCAGACAGAAGAGATTAAAAGTTTTGTAGTCGATTGAATAATTGTCTAACAAATATTCACTTCCTCCCCCTCAAACTTAAAGAGAGATGTATATTTCCCTAGTCTGTGTTGCATTTTGCCATGCAATTTACTGCAGCCAATGGAATGTGAGTGCGAGAATGTGCCGTCTTTGAGCCTAGGCTTTAAGAGTTCTGTGTTTCGGCTCACCCCTAGGAGTTTGCAACCTCCCCCAGGAGATGAACATGTTTTGGGAAGAATGAGAGTCACATGGAAGTGACTCGAACCCAACTCTCAGCCTGGAGTCAAGCTCAGTCTAGAGAAGCTGAACTCTAGACAACCTGCAGATGCATGAGCAAAAAATAAAGGCTTGCCATGAGGCTCGAGATTTTTTTTTTTTTTTTTTGTTACGCAGCATCATTACAGCCATAGCTGACTGATACAGATTTGTCGTAACTTCAGTTTACTTTAAGCCTAACAGTTTTCAGAATCTCCCAGTCTAGGGAGGGATTAGTAAAAGGCCTACCTGCCACTTTGACCTGGTTGGGGGCGCAGGACCTGCAGGGAATCACCTGGAACTCTTCTGCCTGGTACATGGAGTAATCAGTACTTGCAATGACCAGGGTGTCTCCAGGCTTCCACGACTGTACATTGTCCTCCAGGTTCAGAATGGTGCTGTTCACATTGGTGTCAATGGTGACTGTGAGTTTGGGCCTCACTGCAACCCAAAACAGGAAAGACTGAGACAGAGCCCTTTGCCCTTGGCAAACGTCTGGCTACCTCTTTTTTCCCTTCCCCTCCCTAAATAAGTAAATGCCAGGTTTGCCTATCCAAAACCCAAATCACTAGCTTACTCCATCCCACTCTTGGTAAAGGTTTTTGAAGTCAACAAAAATCCTACCAGAAAAGAGCTATTCATTAGCTCCGGGCAGAGGAATTTTCCACTAACTTCTTAGCTGGAGTTAAATGTGGCGGCCTCACCCCACCCACTTTGCTAAAGATGTAAAACAAATGCAGTTCCTCTCAACTATTATTTTCGGTAGCCATAAACCTCTCCCTCTAAATTTTCATTCCTAATGACTGCCTTCTGGATGGCCAAGTGCCTCCGAGAACGACCCGACCATTTCCAATCTTTTCTAACAAGCACCTTTGGAACCGGGTTTAAAATAATAGCACCCAAAAAAGCAAAAGGCTGCGCCTCTCTGGAGTGGAGGATGGTTCTCTCCATCTGCACCCTGGCTGTCTTGGACCAGGCCCTTCCCCTTCCTGAAAGACTTATGGGCAGGGTGGGGTTCTGCTGTCTTCTGCCAACTCCAAGGCCCCTCCCACTGCTTCTGTGCCACAAAAGGATTCTCCTCTGGGAGCAGTTTCACTGAGATGTCTGGAGGTTGCCTGCGTAGCTGCCAGTTCAAGGAACCCAGCTGCAGCTGCACCTCCATCCCCGACAAGGGGCTGCTTACCAGGCTTCCCACAGAGGAACCTCACACGGTAGCTCCTGCAGGCTCGGCCCCGGTCGTAGCAAGCAAACCTATAATCTTGGCCTTTTTTGTAGACGACCTCGGTGCTGAGGTTAACTGCATCCATTGTAGTGGCCTGGGAATGGCACAGAAATTACAGAGCAAAGTCATTTTTTTTTTTTTTTTAAAATCAAGAAGGAAGGTGATGATTCATGTTCTAAACATGTACTCAGAAGTCTAAAATTGTCCCTGCTGCAACGTTATTTACAATGGCCTGAGATGATTATCCCAGGGATCGCCCCCATCGGCTTTGTTATGAGAAAGACAGCCTAAAGTCTTGGAAGAGATAAATGTCTGGCCTGAGGTCCTACAGCACTCGATATCGAAACGAGGGATTTACTGCTTATGGCTGGGTGAGCACTTTACAGGGCCTTTAGAATAAGTAGGGGCTCTTTTAGGATCTGGGCTGACCACGTTTTACAACGCGTGCCACCACTGCAGCACCACGAACAGCGGCCAATGGTCCCCACGCGGATCCACATCCCATGGGGAAGAGTCTTTAAAAAATGCTCATGCCCAGGCCCCATCCTTGGAGTCTCAGATTTGATTGTGTCTGGGGTGTGGCATGGGCATCTGGATTTTTTTTTTTTTTATCATTTAAAAATTTACTTCATTCTTTTTAAACTTTTATATTTTTTACGATTCTTTTTCTTTTAAAGAGACAGGGTCTCTCTATGTTGCCCAGGCTGGAGTGCAGTAGCTATTCACAGGCGCGATCCCACTACTGATCAGCACGGGAGTTTTGACCTGCTCCATTTCCAACCTGGGCCGGTTCACCCCTCCTTAGGCAACCTGGTGGTCCCCCGGCTCCTGGGAGGTCACCATATTGATGCTGAACTTAGTGCGGTCACCTGATCGGCATAGCGCACTACAGCCCAGAACTCCTGGGCTCAAGCGATCCTCCCACCTCAGCCTCCTGAGTAACTGGGACTACAGGCACGTGCCACTGTGCCTGGCGGGCATCTGGACTTTTAAAAGTTGCCCAGGTGATTCTAATGGGCACCAAAGTTTGATAACCACTTGCGTAGTTATAAAGCGAGACGTTTACCTCCATCATCTCATCTCATCTTCATAACAAAACTGTGAGGCTACTGTTACTTTTACAGATAAGGAAACTGATCCTCAGAGAGGTTCGGTCACTTACCTGGGATCACAAAGCCAGGTGGTGGCAGAGCTAAAACTTGAACCCAGACTTATGTAACTACAATGCAATACTTCTAAGCCCACCCACTCTTGCCCTAAGGCACTAGCCACCTACTGTCCTTTGTTCAAATGTCTGCCTCCTCCCACTACGTAGTGGGCTCTGGGAGGGCAAGGAGCAGGGTTTTGTCCCCCTGTCCCCAGCATTCAGCCCAGGGCCTGGCATAGAGTGAGGTCTTGGTGGATGAGGGCTGGCTGGTGAGCAGCCACAAGGCCAGGTGGAGAATTTAGGGAGCAATTCTCCTCCTTACCAGGAGGGCACGATCCCTGCCAGCTGGGGCCTGTCCCAGAGCCAGGGTGTGTCTGCATCCTGACTGTGACTGTCATTCAGAGACATACAATTTAGAGCAAGGCTGCAGCTGTTGTCATCTTTGGCATAGAGTCCAAAGGGACCAGACGGGGGTAATTAGGAAAGTACAGCCGATCAAAAACAAGAGGAAACTTTTTAGGAAACATTGTTCTGAACCCAGCAGATCCGTTATCTTTGGCTTAGAAGGAGAGCCATGTGGATGTGAGTTCAGCCACAATGAAAACTCAGCCATTTCCTGCAAAAAAACACACTCATACCCACTATCTCAGATGGTCTCTGCAACAGCCAGAGAGACAGGGTTGCAACCTTGCTTTTAGATGGAGGTCAACGCTGCTGCTCAGAGGGGTTCAGGTGTAAGCTCAAGGTCAGTTAAGGTAAGCCTCCTGACATGTTCCCCTGAGGCAAGCGTGTTCATCAGTGGGAGATGCCATGAGATTGAGAACCGAGCCTGAGAGCACCACAGAACAGGCTGGAGATCTCTCCAGGTGTGACATCCAACAGTAATTTCACGAGAGCATCGACCCAATTCTGCCGCTTTTCCTTTTTTCCTTTTTTGTTTTGTTTTTGTTTTTTTTGTGTGTGTTTTTTTGAGACGGAGTTTCACTGTTTCACTCTTGTTACCCAGGCTGGAGTGCAATGGCGCGATCTCGGCTCACCGCAACCTCTGCCTCCTGGGTTCAGGCAATTCTCCTGCCTCAGCCTCCTGAGTAGCTGGGATTACAGGCACGCGCCACCATGCCCAGCTAACTTTTTGTATTTTTAGTAGAGACGGGGTTTCACCATGTTGACCAGGATGGTCTCGATCTCTTGACCTCGTGATCCACCTGCCTCGGCCTCCCAAAGTGCTGCGATTACAGGCTTGAGCCACCGCGCCCGGCTCCCTTTTTTCCTTTTTCTATCCTAAAGAGTGACCTCAGTTTTGGAGAAGAGTAAAAAGGAATCCACCGTAATTCAGAGAAGCAGGTCTTTAAGTAGACTGAGTTTACCGTTATTTCTGATAATAATTAATAAAATAATCATCAATATGGTAACTAATAATACATTTATTTCATTTCATTGATTTATTGATTTGAGACAGGGTCTCACTCTGTCTCCCAGGCTGGAGAACAGTGGTACCATCTTGGCTCACTGCAACCTCGGCCTCTCGGGTTCAAGCCCTTCTCCTGCCTCAGTCTCCCAAGTAGCTGGGATTACAGGAACCTGCCACCACACCCACTAATTTTTGTATTTTTCGTAGTGATGTGGTTTCACCATGTTGGCCAGGTTGGTCTCAAACTCCTAACCTGAGTTGATCCATCTGCCTTGGCTTCCCAGAGTGTTGGGATTATAGGCCTGAGCCACCGTGTCTGGCCAATAAATTCATTTAAATAATAAAAAGTTACGGGCCACTTTCAGTTTGCGCATTTCATTGCATTGAATCCACAAAACACACCCATGAGGAAACAACTAAAATCCCTATTGTTACATGTGAGGAAACTGAGACACTAAGTAACAAGACTGTGAATGGGGTAACCAGGGCACAAAATTTAATTTCAAATCCACTCTTAGGGCCATGCAGAGTGCAGAGTTGGCACTGGAGGGAGCGGATTTTCTTAAATTCTGCACTGTGGACACCTTGCTGATATGCCAAAGCTCACAAGTGGTAGAGCTGTGATCTCTCTGGCCCACTTAGATCTCTCTGGCTTCAAAATATGTTTTTGTTACCATCAGGCTGCCCTCCAGCCACTGCACTGGCTGCTGTGGGGGACACACAGACTGCCTGATGTCCCCCAAGGAAATCTGGGTCCAGTAGATCCCGCTGGCCTTGAAGGGTAGCTGGGTTTTAACAGAGAAGGTGAAAGGCAAGAGAATTTTCAGCCAAGGAGAACTGAACAAAGGGCAAGACATAGAAACAGCGTGTTGTTGTTATTATTATTGTTTTCAGAATCACAAAATATCAGATCTTGGAAAAGCTTTTCTTGAGGTCAACTGTGCAGTCTTCCTGCTTCTTCTTTCTTCCCAACCTGCCTCCTCCAATCTTGCCTAGGTTGCAAATGTCCTTGACACTCCCTGGCGCAGAGGCTCTGACTATGTCAGCGCGGGGCAGGTATCCCGGGACCCACTGTGTATGGCACGGAGCTGGGCACTGGGGGCAGGCACAGGCACGAAGAGGAGCATGTTAAGAGCTCAGGACCGGGGAGGTGGGGGCACCAGCTGACCAGAGAAAATTGCATTTTGGCAATTGTGGCAAAAATGAGCACGTGGGAAGTTCTGTTTCGTTTCAGTCTCTCCCTGGGTTAATTAACAAGGGCATTCAGGTTTTGGCTAATGCATTCGTCACCTTCTAAAAAGGAGGAAATCCTGCTTCTCTCACCTCTTGTGAGCATAGACAAGAGTGGCTTTGTTTTTCTGGTTTTGGAAACATCCAGGAGCATATTCTACATCACCATTTTTACCTTTGATGGATCTAAGAGATCCTCTAGCTAAGTCTGGGGATGCTCACTGGTGAAAGATTGGTGGCGAGAATAAGCCTGATCCCTCTAGCATGGTAACACCTTCTCTTCAGTAGAGATGGAGGTTTGACTTCACCATTGAAGGCACATGCCTCTCACCTTCTAGATGACCAACTCAGTAGACCTTGGTTTTGCCAAGAAAAATCCAAAGGTCTTATGGAATTGGGAATTCTGAATGCTTTCGTTGTGGAAAGACTGGCCTAAGCTTCTGAGTAAGGGGACCACACTGCTGTTGGGTCTTTTATTCTCTGGACCTCAAATAACGGAGAACTTGAACTCAGGGAATGTCTCGCCAAGGGGACTCTTTTCGTTGGAAGAGAAGGCCTTGCAATATGGCAACAGACTAATAGTTACGGAGCGTAGGGTTGGGTCCCCACGATGGGTCTTGGCTTACGGAGCACTCAACCTGGGTTTAATTGTGTGTTTTGGGACACTCAAGGAAGTGCCTGCATCTGTGCTGGGAACAAAGTAAACGCAAGAATGGGAAATGTCTGAGAAATGCTGTTTTCCTGGCACTGAGAGGTGGTCTTCCAATCAACAGCGTCTGGAGCCAGACGCCCGGCAGAGCAAACACCAGGAGAGATTTGTAGACCATGTAAGCATTCCTCCAGCATTTCCAGAAGCCTTTGGAGAGGGGATATTGGTAAAGAGCTAGACTTCCTGTGGTCAAGTGAACTGGAGGGATAAGACTGTGGCTATTTCAGAATTAAAGCTGGAACGTTCAAGCTTACGAGAGAAAATTAAAATTAAATCTGGAAAGTTTGTGCTACGGGGGATCAGTGCTTTTTGATTCTGTTGGACCCAAGGAGAATCTGTGACTTGCAACTTAATCTGGGTAAATCCTTCTCAATAACATCGAAGCCATGTGAAGGGCCTTAGCCAAAGAATGAGAAAGTTTTCTCCAGCCTTTGCTAAGTGCAGAACAGAGGATCCTCCCTTGGATAAGTGGTCCTTCCTACGATGCAAGACAGAGGGTAGAAGTTAGTTCTGCCCAGGATGGTGCAGCGGGTTGGAAGCACAGACAGATGGCCTGGGACCCAAGCTGACCTGGGACTTGAGCTTCAAGATTCTAGGAAAAAGTGTGTAGTCTCACTCTGTCACCCAGGCTGGAGTGCAGTGGTGCGATCTCAGCTCACTCCACCTCCTGGGTTCAAGGAATTCTGCTGCCTTAGCCCTCCAAGTAGCTGGAATTACAGGCACCCACCACTACGCCAAGGTGATTTTTTTTTTCATATTTTTAGTAGAGAGGGGGTTTCACCACGTTGGGCAGGCTGGTCTCTAACTCCTGACCTCAAGTGATCTGCCCACCTCGGCCTCCCAAAGTGCTGAGATGATAGGCATGATCCACTGAGCCCGGCTCCAGTGGCTTCTAATTCTCCATCAAGCATTTAAGCTGCCGCAGATCTTGTCTTGGAACAAGGCTGGGCATAAGGAAGTGAATCTCATTTACCTTGTCTATTTCTCCTGCCTCTCCTGTGGTGCCCGACGCTCAGTACCCCACTGGCTGAGCTGGTGAATTGTGAGGCCTGTGTATTTACTCAACACTTTCTTGATGCAGCCAACTGAGAACATCAAGGTCCCCTTCAGATGGAATTAACTCCAAGTGAAGATTTTGAGCAAATACTGTCCATTCTATGAATGCTGGCTTTGATTTAGCTCAGTCGAGAACAAGGCTGCGCGTGTGTTCTCCATCTGGGCTGGCCTGGCCTGTACCCCAAATCCTAGCTGCATCCTGTACACTCAAGGTCCCTAAGGAAATCAATGGGGAAGTGAGGCTGGGCAGACCAAACCCATCCCTGCGGTGGGGGCACTCTCAGCCATGGCTGAAGAGGCAAGTTAAAGAGAAGGAACTCAGAAGCTGGACTCAGGAGAGAACCAGCCCTCGCTTTTGGGCAGATAGGAAGCCTCTGCTTCAGTTTCTAACGTGGGTACGGGACTCTTTGGTGGACCTACCTCACAGGAGGGCCATGAGAATCACAACACCCAAGTGACAAGAAAGTCTGTGGTCTATAGAGTCTTCTTCAAAACAGCACACTTCTATTTTCTATTTTTGCTGTGAGTTTGGTACCTGTATATCAATGGGACGATTGCAGATTTTTCCCGGATGAACTGTCCAGAGGTCTGAGATTTTCTCCCCACCTTTAGTCTGAGATACTTTATCGTGGTCGAACCACTCCGTCCACTCCACATCTAGGCAAAAAGCAGACAGCAGAGTCAGGCAGAAGTTACCTGTGAGGGTAAGTCACATTCAGTGTGGTCTCTCGGCATCCTTGGCACCATGGGAACTGAATATCAGGTGTCCGTGGTTGCACCAGGCTGGGGCTTGGGTGGCTCTCAATAATCTGCCTGTTCTCCCACATTTTAATTAAAAATGAGTTTCTCTTAATGAGGTTTCTTACTTTTGTAAAAGCAGTTTATGTTCTGGGTTATCGCAAAAGCAAATAAACAAACAGAAAAGAAAGAAAACCCGTCTGTAAATCCGTTATCCAAGGACCGCAAGTAGGATTGCTGCTTTCTGCAGTCTCTGCGTGTGGGCTATTTGAAGGTCAGGTTCCGTTCTTATCTGCGTTTCCTGTTCAGTGCCAATGCCTGGCACATCAAAGATATTCTGTGAACTAAGCTGAATGTCACAGACCCCAGCTGAGATGAAATTCAAATCTTAACCAGGGGAGAACACCCTTTTGGGTTATGGGCTAAAGTGGCTTGATTAATTAAAGACAACTTTCAGCTGCACATTTTTCGTTGATCCTGCAAAAGTTACAGTGGTCTGACTGGTATAAGGCAAACCTAGTTCTGCAAAGACAGTGATTTCTGGTCTTCTATCCCGCTGTTAGGTGTCACCAAGTTGTCTGAAACGCCTCACCTTGAACCCACTCGCTGGACAAAGAAACATTGAAGTATTCGCCATGCTCAGTCTGGAACAATTTGAATACTCGGGCAGCGGCAGAGCCCCGGTGTCCTGTCAGAGAAACCAGACCCTTTAGGAACTGGACAGGCCCCCAGACTCAAAAAGTTGTAATTCCAAGGCAAGGAAACCCCCTACACACATGGACACTGACTCATTTATTTACAAATATATATGTATTTTTTTTAAAGATGGGGTTTCACCATGATGGCCAGGCTGGTCTTGAACTCCTGACCTCAGGTGATCCACCCACCTCAGCCTCCCAAATTGCTAGGATTACAGGCATGAGCCACCATGCCCGGCCTTATTTACAAATATTTTTTAAGTAAATAAAAGAAAATCAAGACATTCATTCACTTGGGAAACAGATTATTGTCCATTCTTTTGTGTCAGTTTTGAAAGTTTAGTTCCAGCCTCCCAGCAAATTCAGATTGTGGAGCTCTAGCATGTCTCATGGGCTGAATTCCCCCTGGGCATTAGATTTGCGGTGCCACCCGCAGCCTGTGCTGGGCAAAGGAGGCTCCCACTGTGTCCTGAAAGCCCATCTAAAGTGTCATTTTAGCTCTTTTTAGAATTTTTTTTGAGATGGAACCTCGCTCTGTTGCCCAGGCTGGAGTGCAGTGGCGTGATCTCCTCCCAAGTAGCTGGGAATACAGGCAACCGCCACCATGCCTGGCTAATTTATTTTTATTTATTTTTTTTATTTTGAGTAGAGACCAGTTTTCACCATACTGGCCGGGGTGGTCTCGAACTCCTGACCTCAAGTGATCCGACTGCCTCAACCTCCCACAGTACTGGGATTACATGCATGAGTCACTGTACCCGGCCTGGTTTTAGCTCTTAAACTACCACCCTTGTTGGGTCCATCCCAGTTCTCATCTTTTCTATGCCACTTCTAAGTTTTAGATTAAGTCAACGAAGACTTCCATGAAAAGGTAAATATTATCACAAGTGGTGGGCCTTTGGCCAGTTCTTTGCCACCTCCACATAAGGTGGCCAGTTAAGCGTCTGCTCACTCATCTAGGCGATGGGAGCTGGGCACTCATGCTCGGAGAAAAGTGGGCTGTTCAGAAAAACCCTGCACCTCTTGGTCAGAGACACACTGGAGGGAATCAGGCCTCTAGTCAGCTGTTAATTACCATGATATTCAATATGGTCTTCCACTGAAGAAGACGGACTTCCTTTCACAGTTAGAAAACTCCAGGGGTGTCTGAAACAAACAAACAAACAAACAAGCAAAAAGTCAAGTTATTCATGAGTCTGAACCTGCACGGGGTGTGGGTTCCCTCCGTCCCCCACTGCTGTTTGGGGGAAATTCATTCACTTGCTGGGCTTCTCTTCTCCAGAAGGAGAAGCACCTTTCTTTGTAAGCCGCTGCCTGGCCTGCCTGGTGTCTGCTTCTTGTCAGCCTCTTCAGCTCCATTCTGGCAGAAGATGGGAGTATGAATCACAAATAAACAAACAAGCCAACAGACCTACTGCACCACCTGCCAAGCTCAATTATGTCCTGAAGCAAGTGCCTGGACACCTTTAGGAAAACACGTTCCAAGAAAAAACATGCTCAGCTCTCCTGGAGTTCAGCTCGAGGAAAATATCAGAGGTTGACGTGACTGACCGCTTGAACCATCTGCCTTGGGGCTTGGCAAGGAGAGAAATGTCTCTTCTTAATGGAGAGGGAAGGTGAGAAAGATCTAAGGAGGCCAAGGCGGGTGGATCACAAGGTCAGGAGATCGAGACCATCCTGGTCAACATGGTGAAACCCTGTCTCTACTAAAAATACAAAAAATTAGCTGGGCATGGTGGTGCGTGCCTGTAATCCCAGCTACTCGGGAGGCTGAGGCAGGAGAATTGCCTGAACCCAGGAGGCGGAGGTTGTGGTGAGCCGAGATCCCGCCATTGCACTCCAGCCTGGGTAATGAGAGCGAAACTCCATCTCAAAAAAAGAAAAGAAAAGAAAAGAAAAATTGTACACCCATCTTTCCTTCATGCAAGCATCTGCTGCTTTAGGGCAGGAAGGTTTTCTTACCCCATTTTGTCTTAGGCATTTTGTATCATGCCTAATGCAGTAATGGGGTTCAGGAGATACCCTAAAAAATGGCAGCTTGGCATATTGAATATTTCAAGCTCACAGAATTTGAGAAATGGCAGGCAGGAGTTTCTGACTTTCCCCTGAAGCAGGTCCAAGACCCTTATGTGAGAGGGGCCTTCCTTATTCCCAGGGAAAGAGCATCCTTATCCCCAAAGGCAGATGGCTAGGGTAGTCAGTCACGGTAGGATAGTCACGACAGCAGTCTCCGATCCCCAAAGGCAGAAGGAAGCCAAGACGAATCTGCAGGAACAGACCGAGCTAAGTTTTCCTGTGTACTGTGCTTGGCTCAATTCTCTGACCTATCACATTTCCCCACAATGCTCCACTTCATCAAACCTTGTGTACCAACACTCAGTTTAACTGTTGCTTTGGGTCCTGGTTTCCAAATGAAGGCTCCCATGTCGTGTAAGCTTGCCATCTGAAATACATTTGTGTACTGTGTGCCTGTTAATCGGCGATTTGTTACCGGTGCTCCAGCCAAGGACTTAGAAGAGGAAGGAAGTTTTCCTCCTCTACAGTAGCCCTCTCTTACGATAAGCTATCAATTGGCCGGGCGTGGTGGCTCACGCCTGCAATCCAAGCACTTTGGAGGCCAAGGCAGGTGGATCACCTGAGGTCGGGAGTTCAAGACCAGCCTGACCAACATGGTGAAACCCCGTCTTAAAAAAAAAAAAAAGTTATCAATCAATTTTGGTGCTGAATGGCTCTCATTATTGCTTTGATCTCTTGTCTTGGAAAGTGGGTCACTAATGAATGGTGTTTAACCGAGGTTGGGGATTTGACTGCTCACTCTTCTGCCGAAAAGCTTCAGTAGCTCCCCATTGCCCTTCGGGTAAAGTCCAAACTCGTTGGCACAGTCAAAGGTCCTCTGTCCCACCCTTCAGCCTCCCCTCTCATCCCTTGCCCTCTCTCCCATACTGCCACTGCCTGGCCATCCCCACCTTCTTCGGGAGAGCCACTCTTTTGTCCCTTGGCCTCCAAAGCTGCCGGTCTTTCTATGGGACCTGCTGGGCCTTGTCCTCACGTGTGCGTCTGCACGAAACTCCCCTTGCTCTCTCAGGCCTCGTCACCAATTTCCATTCATATCCGCCTTACCCCGAGAGCTCAGAACACCTGGTCTAACCCGGTACCTCCCACCCTGTGTGTTCAATAACCATTTCCCAAATGGGTGAACTTGGGCCCAAATGAAGGGTCCAAGTCTCAGTTCTCCTACTGATTTTAGATGCCTTAAGCTTCTCACTCAAAGAGTGTCTCTATACAAATGAGGCGTGGAAATGTGATTTCTCCTTCACCCATGTGAACAGATGGGCGAAAGATGGTGAGTGCCCATCTTTCCAGTGGCTCTTGTTTGTAAGGAGAAAATAGTTGCCAACATTTCTGGAGAGCTTATTCTGTGCCAGACGTGGTGACAAATATTTTGCTCATATTATCACATTTAATTGTCCCACTGGTAAATCCCATTTTACAGATGTAGGACCAGGCAGAGAATGAGTCATTGGCCTGCAGTCACACCTCCTAGGAGGTGCAACCCAGGCTCAAACTCAGGCCACTGGATGCCAGGTCTTGTGTCCTCAGCCACCTCCTTCTGCTGCTGAGGCTCTAAGTAGTCAGTTCCCTGGTGTTTCTAGCTCGCTGTAAATTAATAGACTGGCCTTTTGGTTTATAAAGCAACAGAATGGAAGTGCAATTAGTGTTTCCCGACAAAGGAGCCTTACGATTCCAAGGTATTATTGTCATCTTTGGCTGCTGAAGTTTCCTGCTCGAGTTTCCCGTCCAGGAGAAGTTGTCTCTGGGCTGAACGCACACTGGAACCTGCAGCAGCCCTCCCTAGCCCAGGACGTTTCTGCTTAGCCAGCAAAACTGCTTTGCTCCAAGCCCAGAAAAGTCTCTGGCTTGCCTCTCATCTTGCCCCCAGAAGTGGGAAGCTCAAGGGAGGAGCATCGTAATCTCCAAACAGCCATGGGACAGATAACCTAGACTTTCCCGCTGAGCTGAGATTTGATTTAACATGATAAAAAGGTGTGTTTACTATGGACACAGGGAGGGGACCACCACACTGGGAGGGGCCTGGCAGAGTGGGGCAGAGGGATCAGAACAAACAGCTAATGCGTGCTGGGCTTAATACCTGAATGATGGCTCGATAGGTGCAGCAATCCACCATGGCACACGCTTACCTATGCAACAGATCTGCACGTCTTGCACATGTATCCTGGAACTTTAAATTAGATTTTTCTAAAAAGGCGTGCTTACTATGGGGCCAACAGCCCGCTCTCGGTGCTGAAGTGTGTGCGTGCCAACGTCAGACATGATGCTGCATTCCAAGGCAAACACAGCACACCCTAGAACATGGCAAAGGGCCGCTTCTCCTTGGGCATTTGGCTCGGTGGAGACACTTCAAATAATCTCTCAAAGACTGTCTGCCAGTCCCCACGCCATGACATGAGCCCTTTCCCAAAGAAAGGGAAAATGAATATTAGCTGCACATCAGAGACATGGCTCTTGCACACAGTAGGTGCTCACGTTGCATTTTGTAAGTGGCCGGCTGAATGAATGAGTTCATATAAACAGAGAGCTTTTGTGTTTTATGAGTGAACTATGCTTGTAAGGAAAAACAAGCTTTCTTTAAGAACAATTTCCAAACGTATCAAATGCAGATGTCAAATGTAAATCCCTGCATCCACTAGGTCATTCAGGATGGTATGGCTGTGGGGACAGGAGATGGGAAAGGTACATTCTCAGTGGGATAGGGTGGCTTCAGTGTTCCAGAGCCCAGTGGCGGCCGAAGTGAGGGGCAGTACCTAAATCCAAGGTGTAGGAAGTGTTTGCTTCCCAATTTGGTCATCGCCTTCCTGGCTATGTCATCTAGATTTCGAGAACCTTCATCATTCACCGCAACAGCAAGGATCTTGCCATCGGGCACCACGTTCAAATACTGGACCAGACGTTCACTCTCTTTCTTGGATCTATAGGTGTCAAACCTAAAAAGGGCAGAGAGAAGAGATTTGAATAGTCTTGACAGCAGCCAAAAAAGAGAGTTCTAAGCACATGTCTGTGCTACAACAGCTGACATGCTATCCGAGATCCCAGGGTCTGCAATTGTTAAAGAAGGAAGCCGCTTCTTTAAAGAACAGGTAAGTTTAGTTATTTTGCATACCATACAGTGATATCCAAGCAGAAGGGATTTCACCATAATGTTCATTCGCTGAGTAAAATGCCAAAGAAATGATTGCAGCAGTGGAGACTTCAAGCTCCAGGGTGTTGAGTGGGTCACATACTTGAGGTCTAGGACTTTTGATGTTCCCCTTTCATCCTGGAGGCAGAGGATCATGCCTCTTGCAAGGGCCTGGCTCTTAGAGATAGTTCAGATAGCTAGGGCATTAGGAATTTGTATCTTTGATCCAGACTAAAACGCCAATCTCAGAATTCCTGGAGATGACACAGAGAGTATCCTAAATCCCTTACCCCACCCCAGAGCAGCCTGCAGAGAGTTAATTGCAGAGATCCAACTTATAATTTATTGACCTGTTAAGGATTCTTATGATAATGCATCTTAGAATCATTAAAATGTAATCTCTGATTCACACAGTAGCAGTCACATAATATTTGAGTATTGCAAATGTTGTTGCATTGTTATTTTCTCCCGTTTACTTTTTAAAAATTATTTGACTTTATTGTGGTAAGAACACCCACCTTGAGATCTACCCTCTTAAAATTTTAAGTACACTATATAGTGTTGTGCAATGTTAGACAGATCTCCTATAATAGCAAGAACTGATCATCTCCAAATTAACAGATAACCTATACTCAGACACATAAAATATTCACAAAATAAAAATCATACACAGAAAATCTGTACCCCTGGTGAGAAGAATTTACAAAGCAAAGACACAATTTTGTAATGACTCCAACTTTCCCCCATGCAAGGATAAAGATTTTGTGCAATTACAGTGGAAATGCCTAAAGAATATGTCTTGGAACTTAAGGAACATAGCTCCAAAGTGAATCTGGAAAAATAATTTAAGGAGGTTTTTGGAAAAGAAAAACAGTGTTGGTATTGGTATAGCTAGATAGGTGCTCCTGGGTCCTCACACTTGTTCTCAACTGTTGGCACAATCTGGTCCAACCCCACCTAACTTGCAAACCCTCCATTGTCCCTCCCCAGGAAGCTCTTGCTGCAAGCTGAGTGCTTCTCAGTGACCACCCCACTCGCCCACTCTGCCTTCATCATTTCTTCTCACCTTTTCTATATCTGATCAAACCCCTACTACCTTTCAAGAGCTGACCTAAGTTCCTGCTCCTGTAACCTTCTTTTTATTTTATTTATTTTATAAGATGGGGTTTCACCCTGATGGCCAGGCTGGTCTTGAACTCCTGACCTCAGGTGATCCACCCACCTCGGCCTCCCAAAGTGCTAGGATTATAAGTGTGAGCCACCGTGCCCGACCCTCCTGTAACCTTCTCAGATGACTTTTGCCTGCATTTACCTGTGTGTGTGTATGTGCTTATTAATATCTTTACTCACATACATTTATCTATCACATTATTGAGATCTCCAGCACATACTTTAAGCAAAAGATATTCACGACAAGCAGGCATTCTGTCCGTGCAATCTCCACAGCATCTGTCCAGATCACTTCTCATTAACAGGCCAATACATAAACTTTAAGTTGGATATCTCAAGTCACAGTGTTGTACTTACTTAAAAAACAGCACCGAAAAGATCAGCACACAGTTGAAGAGGCCATCCTCTCTAGTATGAAGGCAAGGGCTCCCTGACATACTTTGTGTCAATCAAGGCATCAGCTGTTATCTGCGGGCTCAGGCCAGCTCAGGGTCAGGCCAAGGCAAGTGGTTGTCACCAGGCAGCATGTGGACGCGATACAGGCACACCTGGGTTTGAATCCCATCTCCAACACTTTCCAACCTTGTGGCTGAGTAAATTTAGCCCCGTGAGCCTCAGTGCTTTCATCTGTTTAATGTGGATAATGACAGAACCTTCCTCACAGAATTTTGATAAAGATCAAAGTACATTTGACAGGTGAAGTGATGAACAGTGTTTTGTGGGGAGAAAGTCTAGTGACTGCATTATAGCTACTAACATTTAACGGCAACGTTGGGTGTCTGTGAGCACCAGCAAGCTCTTCAGTTCTTGCCCACCCTGCCCGTGACCGCAGCTGGCTCCTGCTGCCTTTGGGGTGACACCCATGGCTTGGACCCTGTTCTTGAGGAATGTGCCTGATTCCCTCCCCCAGCAGCCCCAGGATAGCTCTGTCTCTACTTATCTACCCCACCTCTGTCCTTCCCTCTGCAGGGCCAGGAAGAAAGCCCCTGGGATTGCAGGGTAGGTCCAGCCTCAGCAGAATCTGCCAGCTTACACCTGCCCATGGTGCCTTCCAAACATCTCTCAGGTACATCCACTAACCACCATTGCTTCTGGGTCTTCACCACCACCATGTCCTGGCTTGACCACAGGAGAAGCTTCCTAACCCCCTGCAACGTCTTTGCTTTTGCCTCCACAATTAAAACCATTCTTTACTTAGCAGCCAGAACATTCTTTTAAATCGGATCATGCCCTTCTTAAAGCCTTTCAGTGACTTTGCTTCCCACGTAGAAGAAAAACCACCTGCTTATTGTGGTCTACGAGGTCCTGCCCAGCCCGGATTTGTGACTCCCATGTAACTGTGTGCTGCTCTTCCACCACCCGCTGTGCTCTGTGGCTCTGGCGGCCTTCCTGTCCTTTGAGAATGTCACACCTTTTCATGCCTCTGGCCCTTTGCACTCGCTGTCTGTCTTGAACACTCTTTCCCTGACATATCCTTACCCTGCCTTTCTCAGCTCAAATGTTGCTTCTCTACATTGCTTTTCCCTGACCACACTATCCAAAGTGGTCTTCCCTAGTTACACTCTAGCATCTCACTGTCTTTCCCTCCCTCACTCCCAATGGTCACGATCTGAAACTATGTTGTGTGTACATATGTGTGCATGCTTGCTCCTCTTCAATTCAGCATCATTAGGCAAACGCCTGGGGAAGGACAGAACTCCTTGAAGGCAGGGATTCCCACCTGTTTCATTCACTGCTGTTCTCCCAACACCTAGAGTGGCACCTGGCCAGGGAGCACACTCAGTAAGTGTACTCTGAATGAATGAGTATACGTTTAAGTGAAGGCAGACACCTTACCGGTCAGAATGGATAACTGTGCCTGATTTGGGGTCGATGACGTGAACAATGACTCCGCGGTGGCCCCAGCTCCTTTCAAAAAAATAGCCTCCTTCTGCCATGCCACCTGGGTGAAGGGTCTTGTTCAGAAACGTCCAGGAGAGCTTTTTCTGTCCATGCAACTCAAGAGTGCCTCCTCTACCGACGCCAATGTACTTCAGACCGTAGTAAGGATCCGGCTGAATACCTTCATCAGCTCTGCAAGAGAAACCAAGTCCCCAAAGTGGGCTGGCACATCCTTTTGCTGGATGCTGAACCCAGAGGAAACCTAGGAGTCACACCTCCCGGTCCCCCATCATGGCCACTATAGAGCCAGTCACATTTTCATCACTTAAGGTCAGTAAAAATAACACTAATGGCTGGGCCCGGTGGCTCATGCCTGTAATTCCAGCACTTTGTGAGGCCCAAGTGGGCAGGTAACTTGAGATCAGGAGTTCAAGACCAGCCTGGCCAACATGGTGAAACTCCATCTCTACTAAAAATACAAAAAATCAGTCAGGCGAGGTGGCACACACCTGTAGTCCCAGCTATTTCAGAGGCTGAGGCACCAGAATTGCTTGAACCGGGAGGCAGAGGTTGTGGTGAACTGAGATCACGCCACTACCCTCCAGCCTGGGCCACAGAGCAAGACTCCGTCTCAAAACAGCAGCAGCAGCAAAAACATTAACAACCCAATCTATCTAAGCCAGACCAAAATAAAGCCCTCAGGGCCAAGCAGAAGTGCCAATGATTAGTTCACAGGTTGGTGTGTTTCCCTTTCAGTTCTAAGTGTTTTCTGTTTTGGTCCGTATCAGATGCGGAATCACCTGGACATGCACCGCACCCGCCTTGTGCATTCCTGGCTATCACTTCCTAGCGCTCTCTATTGTTTAAAGAGGGAACACAGCCAGGGGCAGGTACCACATGAAATTTTCCTGTATCTTGTCCATCATAGCCTATCATATAAACACTTGCCGAGGCTTCCTGAACATAACATGATTGGAAGGCACTGAAAGGATGGCAGGCCCATCACTAAAACAGGTACAGCATCCAGGCCACTATACATAATATGCCTCATGGACTTCAGCTCTCCCAAGTCACCTCGGCTTTCTTGTTTACGATCCCCATCTGATACAACAGAAGGATTCCTATCTTACAGGCAAGCCTTGCCCTCTCGCCTCCCCGTCGGTCTTGGAAAGCCTTCCCCTTGTGAGATCCACGGGTAGCGATTGGTCTGCAGGGGCGGTCTACCCACCTTCCATACAAAATGATGGTGAAATTGCCCTGGAAAGGGCAGAGGGGACTCCCAGCATGCATCTCTCCTCCGTTGTCGATCAGGATGTGCCTGGTTCGCAAAACAATCGGCTCATCATGGTCTTTAATGACTAGCTTGCCTGAAGAGGTAGCATTGAGGGGACGGTTAATAACACAGTGTTAAGGGTAAGCTTATATCAGAGCCCAGGGCAGACTCCCTAAGCACCCTCATCTCACTGGGGCAGGCAAAAAGGCACATCTTTCAAACATTCCTATGCTTAGTGTGCTTACAAGTACAACCATCCCTCAGTATTCTGAAGGGAATTGACTTTAGCACCTCCCACAGATACCAAGCTCCATGGAAGCTCCAGTCCTGATATCAAATGGCATACATAGCCTTTGCATATATGCACCTAACCTGTGCACATCCTCCCGTATACTTGAAATCATCTCTAGATTGCTTATAGTACCTAATCCAATGTAAGTACTGTATAAATAGTTGTTAAACTGTATTTTTAGGAAATAATGACCAGAAAAGTCTGTACATGTTTGGTACGGATGCAGATTTTTTGGAATATTTTCAAGCTGGGATTGGTTGAATCCATGAATGCAAAACCCACAGATATAGAGGGCGGCTGTAATTACTCTTCTTGCTTTTTGCTTTGCAATGTGTAAATAATGCCTATCTGGTCAAATGCCATCACTTCATGTACCACATTTAATGACCAGGCCTCTAAAGATAAGATAAGCAGAATTACTCAAAACACCAATAAGGAGTTTCCCCTACAAATGCTCCTTTCACTAAGATTGGACCTCCAATGAGCCATTCCTAACAGCTCAGAGCTGATGGTTATCTCAAACAACCGAATGCCAACATGAACCCAAAGCATGTGATGTTTATTCTGTCCATCTGAGCTCATGGAAACCTGCATCCTATCTGCTAAGCTCTGGGGCAGTGGAGGGAAGGGGGAGCAGCAGAGAGAGAGATTGGCTTACCTCCCTCTGAGATGTGGATGGAATAGACAGTGGCAGAAGAAGTGAGCAACAGTGTCCTACCCCGGCCGATATGCACATGGTGGTCTTGGTCATGGCCAGGGTTCCAGGGTTGCAGCTCTCGGCTCTGATCAGGGCACCCAGCAGCCACTGCCAAGGACAGAGAGATGTCATTGCTCCCATCTACCAGCCTCACCATGCAAGAATGCTACAGGCCAAAAGGGGGGCTCTCATGCACCTTTAAGGCCCCTGCCTCCTCTCTGTTAGAGCTAAAAGCAAGACCCTAGAGAGCTGAGAGACCTCCTGACATAGGAGGCTGGAACTCTGGCAACCAGTCATATATTTTGCACGTATATTTATCACGTATCTGTGAATAAGTCACTTCCCTTTTCTGGGTTCAGTTTCCCCACTTACAAAATAAAGAGGTAGACCAGATGACTTCTCAGGACATTCCAAGCTCTGAAGTTATATTAATCACTTCCCTTTTCTGGGTTCAGTTTCCCCACTTAGAAAATAAAGCGTAGACCTGATGACTTCTCAGGACATTCCAAGCTCTAAAGTTATGCAATGATTTACCTAGACTACTCAGATTCTAAGACATTCTGTCCTCCAGAAAGCAGTGTTTGAGTAGCTGATAAAACTCTTTCCCTTTCTGCATGAGAATTAGACCTTTGGTTAATTTTCTAGCTCTGTTCCACTGGAAACCTGAGAAAGATAGCATTATATAAATTGTTACCTAGCAACATAGTTTATAAGAAAAGTGACCCCTGATTGGTGAATGGCATCTAAACTGGAAGGAGCTATAGTTTATATTTATACCTGGTGGAGATGTCACACTCTAGGCTTCCCTGAGAGCAGTGACTCTTACAATGGCACATTTTGTGAGAATCCTGGAAGTTACATCTATGGAGTTGCTACGGGCTCCAGGGGGTCATGAAGTCTCTAAGACACAATGGTCTCCACACTTGCCCAGTGACAGTCTTATTTCCTCTCACCTGAGCTGTCATCTGGAGAACCAAGGAGAATAGCTTCTGGATGGCTGTCTGGAAGACTGCCAGGACCACTCCCATGGAAGAGAGGAGCCTGATGCTGCTCTGATGGCATCTGTGTGTCCTGTTCTCTATTTTCCAAGGAAGTCTGATAACCAGTATGACATATGGTCACCTAATGAGTCTGAATGTTTAGTTGAGCCTAAAAAGACCCAGGGTGGGTACTGCAGAGACGCTTCTCCCTGACCTCTGTAGAAGCACAGGGAGGAGTCGCAATGTTCACATGGCTAATAAGATTTGACCTGGCAGTGTCCCGAGGTGGACTTGAGTGAGGAGAACTGGCACTGTTACAGAAACTGGAACAATCTCCATCAATAGCATGGAAAAATCCAGGGGGAAACAGGTGGGAAGAGGCAAAGGACGAAACAAGATGAGAATGAACTGGCTCCGAGAACAAGCCCCAGTGCCCTCCTTTTTCCTGTGACTAGAAGGGTATAAAGTATGAAACAGTCGCTTTCAAAATAACCCCGGGTGGGGATGAGGAGGCGGGAAGGTGATGGGCAGGTAAGTCCATGGGAAGGCAAGGTTTCAGATGAGAAGCTCTGGGGCAGGTGCTGGAAGGAATGGAAGTGAGCTCACAGCTCAGGCCCCCAGAAGAGAGCCTAGGAGAGGCTATGTCTCTCAAGCAAAGAGGGTGCCACAAACCCCAGGAGAGATTCTGGCATCAGTGCATGATAACGGTTTGGCTGTGTCCCCCCCCAAATCTCATCTTGCATTGTGGCTCCCATAATTCCCATGTGTTGTGGGAGGGACCCAGTGGGATATAACCGAATTATGGGGGCAGTTTCCCACACACTGTTCTCCTGGTAGTGAATAAGTCTCACGAAATCTGATGGTTTTATCAGGAGAATCGCCTTTCACTTCCTTCTCGTTTTCTCTCGTCCGCCGCCATGTAAGATGTGTCTTCCGCCTTCCGCCTTGATCTTGAGGCCTTCCCAGCCATGTGGAACTGTGAATCCATTAAACCTCTTTTTCTTTATAAATCACCCGGCCTCAGTATCTTTATGGGCTGCATGAAAATGGACTAATACAGTGCAATTACTGGCAGGTCAGTTCAAAATGTTTCTTGGTTTGTATTCAGCCATCTCCAGAGTAAGAGTGTCTGTCCCATATTTATAGATGTCAAGGAAACCTAGAATGGGGTTCCCTTCATCTGCACTCAACAGCACCACATATGGACCCCATACCCACACTGAGTTGTCCTGTTTGCCTGCCTGAAGGCCCTTCTCTTCTCTGCAAAGCAGAGTGTAGATCCTCAGTGTCCACCTGCTGGGTCTCAACCCATCCCCGCTTCCAGCCCCCAAACAACTCTCCTCCGGGCTCCCTCTGTCTTGCTGTCAGCCATACTGCAGGCTTCGGATCTCTTTCGTTAAGAAAAGAATTTCATATTTTTTGGAGTTTCACCAAAGTAGCTCTTCCAGCTATTGCAAACGCCAAGGGGCTCAAGCAGTGGCAACACAAGGGAAAAAAAAATGGGGCAGTTGTGGGCTTGCTCTTCAGTGGACTTTCCATTTTAACGTAAGAGCGGACTAGCCAGCGGCGGGTGGGATGGGCTCTCTGCGGTGAAACAGAGCAGCCAAGGGTGGTCATGAAGGCTGTGGTCAAGAGGGCTGTGCTGTGAAGCCCACTGCTGGGTTTCTCTCCAGACAGGGTCAGGTGCTTGTCTGGCTTCCAGGAGAGGCCAGTCAGAGGCGCTGGGCTTCCTTCCATCAAGTCCTGGACAAGAGTGTCAGGCTTGAAGGTGGTGAATTTCCAGCCACGTGGGAACCATATGTGGCCAACTGAGGATCCCAGTGGTCCAGGCAAGGAGCCATGAGTATGCTGGGAAGGAGCCACTGCAACGCCACTGGACAAAGCCTTGAGGTCACAGAGTCCACATCCGCCAGGACAATCCTGACGGCCCTTTTCACTCTCCAAGTGCAGGAGTTTGGATAGATTTTGCATTTGGATTTGGAGGCAGTCAGTCTGACCTGTGTGAGCACGCGTCCCCGCCCTCCAGAAGCTCTGATACCACGGCTGAAGCATAGTTGTAAGATTGGCCTTGAACGGACACGCCTTTTTTTGCAGCTGGACGTTTTGCTGTCGGTGAAGGCCAGTGTCAGTGGTTTTTCATTTGTATGAATCAGTGAGTGGCTAAAGAGGGCCAGGGCTTTCGCTGAAATATCACCATGGCAACCACCCTCACTTTCCCAGGAGGGGCCGCTTGAACCAGGATTGAGAGGGAGTGCAAGCCCGACCTACTTGGAGCCTGAATGGCAAGGGCTGGCGCCTACATCCCTCTGATGTCAGAGAAAAGCACAGGCCAGACGGAACCCGAGGCTCAGCCCCTTTCCACATGGTTGATATGCAAACAGCAAAACGGGTGCCAGGATGTGGGAGGAAATAATCAAGGGAAGTACCTGAGGGCACCTCTCCAAGGTGGGTCACCTTTAGGGTAAGCCACCCTAAAAGACAGACCCAAACCCGGTTCCTGGCACAGTCAATGCCTGCTTTGTGTCTGTTAATTCAATAAATGAGAAAGGGATAAATGAATGAATTCAGCTCATATAGCCAATCATCACTGGGAAAGTTAAAATACTGACTACTGGCTGGGCATGGTGGCTCACACCTGTAATCCCAGCACTTTGGGAGATTGAGGCTGGAGGATCCCCTGAGCCTAGGAGTTCGAGACCAGCCTGGACAACATAGTGGGACACTGTCTCTACTAAAAAATTTAAAAAATAGCCAGGCATAGTGGCATGCACCTGTCGTCCCAGCTACTAGGGAGGCTGAGATGAGAGAATCACTTGGGCCCAGGGAGGTAGAGGCTGCACTGAACCATGATCATATTACTTCACTCCAGCCTAGGCAACAGAGTAAGACCCTGTCTCAAAAAAATATGTGCTATTTGCTATGTCCCCTAAGAATCAGAAAAGTTCTTCAAGAAATCGCAGTGAAGGAATTTCACTAGTTACTGATTATTTTCTTCCATCAGTGGGTCAAGAAAAACAAAATACAAATTCAATGTAAGGTTCTCTATTCTTATTATAGAAAATCATCAAACTCAATTAACATAAAAATAGCATCAATAAAACAGCAATCAATCATGGTAAGATTACAGTACTAAACCCCTTCTGAAATTGTCAAATTGTCCCTATCTCTCACAATTGGCTAGAACGGAGAAAAGTGTTTTCCTATAGAAGGGCCTCAGCTCTCCATCTGACCAGTGCCCCTACCTGGTGAGCTTCTCTCATTTGTATCAGGTGCCTGGCTCCTGCAGATACTGAGTTTGCAACCCCCAATTCTGGTCCAATGCCTTCATTTTGTGGATGATGAAACTGAAGCCCAGGATGAAACGTGCCAGGGACCAAGGAATTGAGGAAGGTCGAGCCGGGGCCCAGTCACCCTGACCCACTCCCATGGCTCCTCCTCCTGGCTCCCACAAGTGCAGCCTTGCAGCATTGAGGGGCCATGCCTTGCATGCTGAGACGCAGAGGTCCAGCTGTTTGCAGTGCTCACCTGCGGATGTCTCCCCAGAGAAGCAGGTCAGAGTGAACCAGCTGATGGTCAGCATGGCCTTGAAGGAAGACTCCTGCCTCCCAAAAGCGCCCATCCTGGCAGCGTGCTCCCTGAAAGAGAAGCACACAGAGTCAGACATGCAGCCTTGGCAGGCTGGAATCAGTACACAGGGCCAACATGGAGACAGACAGAGCCACATGCACACACACAGACACAGGACGGGCAGTGCCAGAACGGGCACACGCCAGCCAGCCCACACTCCAGTGCAGTGGCCTCTCCTCCAGGGCAGATTGGGGCAGGAAAACCCTCCCATTGTCCTGCCCATGTCCTGCAGCTCAGAGACCGAGTGATGGATGGAATTTCATCCTTGGTGCTCAAATTCCCTCCCCTCCAGAATGAAGCTTTTTTCTTAAGAAACAGCGCAGAACGAAAGTACTCCCACTGAACCTGAGCTGGGAATGAGATCCCGCCAACTCAGTGTGATCTCAGACGATCTGTTTAATCTCTCTGGATCTTAGTTTTCTAATCTTTGAGGGTGTGGACTGGCTGCTTTCTAGCCCTTACATTATCAGTCTATGTGTCTACTCCAGTCTTGGATAATAATATTGAAAATGTAAATATAGCCGCCTGCATGTTGTAAACGTTCCTGTCTATCAAGGAGGAAGGTGTGGTAAAGAGAGTTAATCGTCCCCAGTGTCCATTTTCTCCTCTTTCCTCAGTAACAGAACCCCTGGTGTTGATCTGGGCACATGGCTACCTAGAATAAAGATGACAGTCCTCAGTCTCCCTTGCATTACTTGTGGTCTTGGAATTCAGCTCTGGCCAATATAACAGAATTATGGCGTCTGAATTCCAGGAAATTCCCTTAAAGGAAGGACAGAGAGACTTTCTTCTCTCCCTTCTCCTTCCTGTTAGCTGGAAGGAAGATGGGATGGCTGGATTGTTAGCAGCTATCTTGGGCCATATGGTGGGAGCCATGCATGCACAGAGCATGCCAGTGCAAGTAGGGAGAAACTTAGGCCTTGACCCTGTGTAGAACCAGAATAGCCCTGGATGGTGCGCTTGTTTTATTGTGAGAGAATTAAGCTATTTTACTTTTTTTTTTTTTTTTTTTTTTTTGAGGCAGAGTCTTGCTCTGCCACCCAGGCTTGAGTGCAGTGGCAGGATCTTGGCTCACTGCAACCTCCACCTCCTGGGTTCAAGCAATTCTCCTGCCTTAGCCTCCTTAGTAGCTGGGATTGCAGGCATGTACCACCACACCCAGCTAATTTTTGTATTTTTAGTAGAGACGGGGTTTCACTATGTTGGCCAGGCTGGTCTCAAGCTTCTGACCTCAAGTGATCCCACAGTGCTGGGATTATAGGCATGAGTCACCATGCCTGGCCTGAATTAAACTTCTAGTTTATTAAACTTCAAATTTATTGAAGCTATTGTTATTTTTTTTCCTTTTACTCATACAGAAGGTTAATATGGGAATCTATCTAGGTAAACCTCAAGACAGGAACTTAATAAAGACAAGATGTGAGATTTCCTTTTCCGGCTATAATGTCACTTGGAGAGAAGTCTTTGTTCAAGCCCTCTGTAGAGCACCAGGGAACTTAGACGGGCTTTGGGGGTGGCCAGCTCCAGCTTCTATGCCGCCTCCCCAATTCCTCCTCTGAATATGACTGTAGTTGTGCCCAGAAACACACAGATACTCTCCCATACTGAGAAAAGGGCCAAAATCTATCTCACCCGGCCCAGGCTCCTCCCTACAAACCAGCTCAGTGACAAATCTGATCACCCCTGACCTTTCGGTTCAAAGCAAAGCTCTTTGTGCGAGTTCAGTGAGTTGGGACAGGCACGGGGTCTGAAAGGAGGGCACTGGGCCCTCTGCCTGGTACCTCCCACACAGGTGTGCTTGGGAGGCCGGGGGAGGGAGGAAATGATACCCCCAGAATCAATGCCGGCCGTGTCCTCTTAACTGCCACCCTGCCTGGCCCAAGCCTGCTCTGCCCGAGAACAACAGGACCCATTCTAGTCACTTCAGCCAGATCGCTGCAGTCACACATCACAGCCTCTGGGAGTGGCGCCTTTCCCATGGCCCCGAGAAGATGAGTGCTCCGTTTCACGCTCCTTACAATAGAAAGAAGGGGACATCAGGAATAGCATTTTACGGTCCTCAGGGAAAAGCCAGAATCCTGGTCTCAGATCTCCACCAGTTTAGAAAAACCAAAGGTATTAATAGCTTGCTGTCTGCTACCAAAGGGTCCCGATCATCATGGCTGCCCTGAGGAACCCTTCCTTGGTCAAGGAAGGTGACAGACAGCAAGGTTGGAAGTGAGAGGGCATGGGAGGTGGGCTGGGTGGGGGCACCCCTCCTGCCCTAACTTCTTGGGTAACCCCCATTAACACGTTTCCTTCTGAGGACCTCAGACTTCCCAGGTACAGAGTGGGGAGGTTGGTGACTTGGACACTGAAGGTCTGACATCTTCTGATTATATCACAGGTGATTTCAAAGATCAAAAAAAAAAAAGGTACTTTCTGGCTAAATGCAAAAATAATTCCACATGGAGGAAGAACACTCAACTCCCTTTTCCCAACATTTGTGAGACCTTCTGCTATGTCTGAGCCAGCTGTCTAAGTCGCTGGGGGCAGCAAGATGGCCCTGCCCACAGAGGCCAATCCCACACTGAGGGGGAAAGTGGTCATCTGGGATTTCTTGCCCGTGTGTGGCTTCCAGTGCCTGAAGACACATGTCCCAAGAAACATTCTATCCTAAAAGATCCCCAAATTTCACTTGGGAATTCTTTGACCAAGGGAGGACAGCATTCTCCGCTGGCCATGAAAAGCTTCCTGGCAACAGAAACTGGTATTCTGCTGCTTAGATGGCAAGACAGTCTTGAAACAGTTCCCAGCTGTTGAAGGCGCTGGAGGAGCTCATGTTAGCTAACAATGCTGGAAGTCTCTGCAGGAAGCTGTCTGGAGACTGGTTGACTGCTGTCCTCACTGGGTTAGAGGGCTGCTCAGAGATTGAGCCACGAAGACCTGAGCTGGCCTGTCCCTTACAGTGTGCAGCAAACTCCTGCAGCAAAGCCTTTGCAAAAGAAAATGCAGGCATCCTTTCCCAAAAGCCAGCACTTTGGGATACTCCACAAGTCTTCACAATAACATGCTAAGGTTTTCCAGAAGCTCAGCTGTCCCCAGGTCCGGCTGCTGCTCGGTCCCCGTGGTTGCTGGACCTCACAGGGTCAAGAGACAAAAGAGGAAAAGCAGGAGCAGGAGGCGCTGGTTGCTGGCGTCTGCTTCAGCGGATCCAGGGCTCGTCACCTGCAGGGCAAGGGGAGACAGGGGAAAGGAGCCAAGTGTTACAGGAGCCTCCAGAGAGGCCGCAGAGCAATGGCATTCCCATGGCACCGTCAACCTCACAGGGAGCCAGGATCTTCTCTAGGGATTCTTGGAAGGAGAGGGAGGAAGAGGTAAGAGAAAGGGTCAGTTTCAGCTGTGAGGCAGGAGGTGAGATGAGACTGGCAGGGTGACCTGGAAGCTGGTTTCCTGGAATACGACAGCAGAGAGACAGGCATTCCCCTCCCTGCTCACCCCGCAGGAGGTGATTCTTGCTTCAGGCAAACCTAGGCAAGGTTCAGAAATATGTGCTTTCACCTTATGTCAAACAGCATTCATAACATTTCTGTTTTTCTTTTTTCTTTTTTTTTTTTTTTTTTTTTTTTGAGATGGTGTCTCAGTCTGATTGCCCGGGCTGGAGGGCAATGGCGCGATCTCAGCTCACTGCAACCTCCACCTCCTGGGTTCAAGCAATTCTCCTGCCTCAGCCTCCCGAGTAGCTGGGACTACAGGTGCACGCCACCACGCCCAGCTGATTTTTGTATTTCTAGTAGAGACGGGGTTTCCCCATGTTGGCCAGGATGGTCTCGATCTCTTAACATTGTGATCTACCCGCCTCAGCCTCCCCAAGTGCTGGGATTATAGGCGTGAGCCACTGTGCCTGGCCCATACAGGTCACTTTTTATCCTGTGGAGAGGTAGCAGGCTTTGGAATCAACCACACCCTTGTGACTTCCCTTGGGCACAGTTTTGTTTACGCTGATATGTCACTTAATGGTTAGGTGTCTGTCATGGGCTGAATCGTGCACTCCCCAAATTCATGCGTGGAAATCCTAACCCCCAGTACCTCAGAATGTGACTGCATTTGGAGTTAGGACTAAGGAGGTAACCAAGGTAAAATGAGGTCAGAGGGGTGGGTCCTAATCCAACACGACTGGTGTCCTTGTAAAAAGAGGGAGACCAGGGCGCAGACACAGAGAGACCAGGTGAAATCACAGGGAGAAGACAGCCACTGACAAGCCAAGGAGAGCGGACCCAGAAGAAAGCAGCCCTCCTGACACCTCGAGCTGAGACCTCTAGCCTCCAGAACCGTGAGCAAATACATTTCTGTTGTCAAATTCTCCCAGTCCATGCTACTTTGTTATGGCAGCCTGGCAAACTCATATGGCATCCTTGGGTAAATTACCCGGCTTTTCTGAAGCTCACAGGTCTCTCATCTGTAACAGTAACAGTGACAATCGAGGCAAACACTACCGGGACCCTGTGAGGTGCCAGGGACTGTTTTATGCGTTTTGCTTACATTGGCTAATTTCCTGTCTCAAAGCAATACTCTGAGCTAGGTATAATTATTATCTCTAGTTTATGGATGGGGAAACGGAGGCACAAAGCATATAACTTGCCCAAGGTCACACAGGACATAAGTGACAGAGTTCAAAGCCAGCCCTTCTTCTCCAAAAGTTGTGCTTCTAATTCCCAAGGATGCAATTATTTGCAGTCTCATCTCAGGATCTCGGAAATATAGACACCGTAGGAGCGTGGAATATTATACAGTCAGCACTTCTCAACCTTCGGTGTGTACCTATTTTCCCCAGAGAACTTGCTAAAAAATGCAGATTCTGATTCTGTAGGTCTGGGGTGGGGGCTGAGGTTCTGCAGAGGGTCACAGGACTAGTAGGTGGCCTAGTCAGGATGTGAACCCAGGTGGTCTGGTTCCGGAAGCCACATTCTATAAAATGGGAACAATAAATGACACCTTGCTTATCTCACCCAGGTTTACTGGGAAGAGCAAATGCTTGATTTGAGCCATTTCTTTGCCCCTGGTATACAAAATCATGATCCTGAAATCAAGCCTGAGTGAGCTTGGGGGAAGGTGGGCAAGAATCCCCCTCCAGCCCTCTTGTGGTCAGGGAAGCTCCCATGTTGCCCTCTTCCTTTATGACCTAGGTTTCTTGTCCATGGACTTTCAAATCCATGCCATGGCTCCTGCAGGATCATCTGCACAGGGTCCACTTAGCTCCGTTTCTGGCTAAGGGC